GTCATCACCACCCACCGACAACTCTTGGGCTACTATTTTACCAACGAATAGTGAGATGGACCGTCACATTATAACAACGAATAGTGGGATTGACCATCACATTACAACGTCCTCACAGCCGGATGGCTGTAACAAAAAATCAAAACCGCTAATCGGAAACTTCTACTGAGAGACGTAAAACGTCACTTTATAGGACGAGATAAAGAACAAACATTCCTGCCGTAGTGATGAGGAAAATATTTCAACATTTTTTAATTCTTTTAAGTGAATGCATTTGTTCTTATTTTTATTTTTTAATATTGTCGATATCAAACACTTACTGTGAGCGATTCGTTTTATATTTGTACTAAGGCCTTCATTTTGAAAACTGACCAGAAGGAAGGCAGCCAGTCAACATCACCATCTCGTCACCGAATATGCTCCCTCTTTCAGCCATGGGGGCATTATAATAAAGCATTTCATTTCTACTATTCGTTGGTAACGAGTAGCTAAAGTGTTGGCGGTGGGTGCTGTTGATTAGCTACCTTCTCTCTAGTCTATCACTTCTAAATTAGGAAAGGCTAGTGCAGATAGTCCTCGAGTAACTTTGCACGAACTTCAACAAACAATTAAATCCACCATTCATGCCGAGGAATTGGCTGTCATTCTTATAACGCACCCACATCTTAGAGTGCGTGGAATATACTGTGTTATCTTACGGATTCGAACCCAGCTTACCAGCTTCGAAATTTAGAGTTATACCACAGGGCCAACCTGCGCCCCGGTACGTGTTTATTACTTTGATTTTGTACGTTTTATCGTTCAATGACTTAGAATATACTTATTCATCTGTGTAAAATATTTAATATATTAAAATAGTTAATTCGTGATAAAACTTACTGCTCTAGGCCTTGCCTAGCCTAGCCAGGTAATTAGGGTGCTCGATTCGCAATCTGCGGGTCACGGGTTCGAATGCTCGACCTTTCAGCCGTGGAGGCAATATAATGTTATGATCAATCCCATTATTAGATGGTTACAGAGTAGCCCAAGAGTGGTGACTAGATTCACTGCTAAACTAGGGACGGCCCCCAGTGGCACAGCGGTATGTCTGCGGACTTACAACGCTAGAATCTGGGCTTCGATACCCGTGGTGGGCAGAGCACAGATAGCCCATTATGTAGCTTTGTGCTTAATACAAACAAACTAGGGACGACTAGCGCACATGGCTCTCGTGTAGCTTTGTGTTTAATACAAACAAACTAGGGACGACTAGCGCACATGGCCCTCGTGTAGCTTTGTGCTTAATACAAACAAACTAGGGACGACTAGCGCACATGGCCCTCGTGTAGCTTTGTGCTTAATACAAACAAACTAGGGACGACT